CTGAATTCTTGAAGAACACTTCTTGATCCATCTTTGACTACATGAAAGTTTTTTTAAAAATTGTTTTTGGTCTATAACTTGTCCTATAGCGATTTTTTTCTGTGCATTTGAGAGCCGCATTTGTGAGAAGTTTTGCTTTGATATCAAGCGGGATTCCTGTGTTGTGTATATGGACCGACGGACGGCAGGGGGGTTGGACACAGCGTGCGAAGCTTCACGGTAGCGAAAATTGGCCAATCACAGCCCTGTATTTTGATAGAGGGAAAGACAAAAATGGCGGGGAGAAATGAAAAGGCAAGTGATAGATTTCTTAGATTTGGTAGCATTTATTTGTATGCTTTTGGAATGAAATCTTGTATGATTAAAGTGCATGTCATATTGAAGGTGTTATAAAAGTTTGACTTCAAAATTCTGCTTTTGAGAATTTTTATGCTCATTCGTATTCGTGTGTTTATTTTTGATCTCGATTCATTTTGTCTGAAACTGCTTGCTTCATATTTCTATCGTTTACTCTTTAAATAAATGGGATCTCAGTGTTGAAACTATAACGAAAAGTAATGGAGGAAATTTCCTTTCATGTGGCATGAGGGCTCCCCAGGGCTCCCCAGGGCTCCCCAGTACTTTTTGAAATATAGAGACTCAAAGTGATGCCTTTTTGAGGTAGTCGTCGTTGCAGCTGGGTTAGTTCTTCTAACATTTGAGAAAGAATAAAGATGTCATTAAAGCCAATTTGATCGGATTTAAAATGTCAAGATAATATCAGCCGAGGATCATTCACATACGTGGTARCTGCTGTATATTCTCGCATTCAAAATTAGAGTCGTTTAAGTGATATTTAAGGTCTCAGATGGTATAATAAACTACTTGATGTAGTTGATAGCGGAGCTCGGCCCGCGCGAGCGGAGTCCCATACTTCAGAAAAAATGGTAAACCATCGAGTTGATTTTTCATGGTTTGGCTGACTTTCGTTCAAGAAAAAGCTTTGTTCGCCTCCTATCGCGGGGTCCAGTCGGCAAAACAAAGAAGACTTTCATTCAATAATTTTATATCTTTCTACACGGATAATTTATTTAATCATTAAATGAAATATAATTTTTTACCAAATATTCAACTTTTTATTAAGCTGTTAGAGCAAGTATGATTATAAAAATAAGCTTAAATTTGTGTTGTTGAAAGATGTTTTTGCATAAAGACCTACTAGACTTTCACTCTAAAAAGCTAAAAATATTCAAAAACATTTACAAACGCCAATTTATGCCAATTAACGCCAACGTACCGAAACATCTTTAAAAGTCATGAAAATGCAGATTACTATTCATATTTACAATGCCTATATGGATCTAATTGGATATCTTGGAAATTACTTTAAGTTT